TGCAGCTACTTCCAGTATTCTACAAAAGAATAGAAGTCTCTCTCCTTACTGGTAGGAGGCCTTGCTGTGCTGCATTTGTTGACGGAGGTGTGTCTCTGAATCTGCTCCAAGGCCTGTTTCAGGGGTTTGCAGGGGCAGGTCAACTCCTGGCAAGTTTTGCTTTGCTGCCTGTAGAACCATGCCCATTTAGTGTGAGCTGTACAGAACACAATCTGATACAGGCATGCAGATAGAAGAATGTCTTGAGTACATGCTATGAACAATTTCCAATTTATGCGTCTCTAGGGGACAGTAGCTACTGGTTGTGAACTGTCTTGACTCCCCAGCTACAACTGACTGGACTCAGATGGCATTCCCCTCTGGAACCACCCCTTTGCCTCTGTCTCCTTCTCCCTGTGTGACCTCATGGCACTTTGTTACTGGACAAAGAGAAGTTGCCCTTCGATGGCGTCCCTCCATGCTGTGAGTCCACAGAAGACTCTGGCTCTTCTCTTTCTTCTAACTCTGTGTCCTATCAGCTGAGTAGGGGTATTTCCAAATTTCTTGATTCCACATTCACATTGGTACAACACTTAAAATATTGGTCAAGACTCTGGAGATATATCATCACTGAGTAGCAGTCAGAGCTTGGCCCCAGAGCTGAGGTTTGAGTCCTCGTTCCCATATTTCACAGCTGAGTGATCATTTGCAAACAGTAAACCCCTGTGTGTCCCAGTTCCTTCAGTAGCGAAACAAGTAGAATGTTAACTCTGACCTAACAGGATTGTTGCAAGGATTCAATCAGTCATTATGTGTGAAGTGCTTGAAAGAGTGTCTAGTACAAAGCCAAGCCAATGCTATTAGTACCTGCTTTTATTATCCTTTTTTTAAACAAAGATTTATTTATTTATTTGAAATGCAGGATTAGAGAGAGAGAAACTGAAAGGAATCTTCCATCCACTGGTTCACTCCCCAAAATGGCTGTAACAGCCCGGGCTGTACCAGGCCAAAGCCAGGAGCCCAGAGCTTCTTCCAGTTCTTGCATGTGGGTGTAGGGGTCCAAGGACTTGGGCCAGCTTCTGCTGCTTTCCCAGGCACACAGGCAGGGAGCTGGATTGGAAGTGAAGCAGCCGGGACTCAAACCCGCGCCTATATGGGTGCCGGCATTGCAGGCGGCGGCGGCTTTACACCACAACCAAGAGACTTTTATTATTCAAAGTCATGGTAGAGTTCATTGCCAGTGACAGGGAGATGGGGGAGCTGTTTGTCTCAGAGGTTCAAGGAGAGTTTGACACCAAGGACGGCACAGTGAATTTTCTCCCAGAGACATTGAGGCACTTGGAGGTGAGGCACCCTGTGATGTGTGGAATGTGGATCAGGAGCCTAAACAACCCTGGCCGTTCGTCTTAGTCCATCTGCTGTTGCTATCAACAGAGTATCTGAGACTGGATAATATGAAGAAATGAGTTTTTTTTGGCTTACAGTCCGGAAGGCTGCTAAATCCAAGAGCATGGTGCTGGCATCTGCTCTGCTTCTGGGGAGCACTTCCTGCTGCTTCCTCTCACGGAGCAAGTGGGTAGATAGAAACCACAGAGAGGGTGGTTTACTCCGTTCCCACAAGAAAGCATTCGTCCATTCATGCGGGTTTTCCTCATGACCCAAACACCTCCCACTGTGTCCCGCCTCCAGACAGCCAGCAAATTTCAGCATCAGTTACAGAAGGCGCACGCCATATTCATTCCCCAGTGTCATCTCCTCCTGGGAAAAGTGTCTTTTGCACTTGGTTGCATTCATCCAACCAAGCAAGACACAGTCTAACCGTAAGTGGGGTCCTACCTGGGCAGGTGATATCAGAGACACAAAGTCGAGGGCCCTTCTGAAACAGCCACCTGTGGTCAGATATGGGTTCTCAGAGACTGGCTTGCAGTGAGCATGGCCTAGGCCTGAGGGTAAGACATTCAAAGGGGCGTTGTTTGCATCAAGTGAAGTAATATAGGTCAAAGTGCAAAGTACACAGTTGGGCATGGTAACCCAACTTTGTAATCCTGCACGATTTTGATGAATGGGTATTCAAATGTCCAGGATCCACTGGCATTGTAAACAATTGTATGTATGTTTGGGTTTGAATATGTGAAAAATGGGTCAGAACCACATTGATGTGGAACTGTGCAAATATCAGGGAGGGTTCTCTTTCAAGTCAGGCCTTTTACATAGTAGTGAATACAATTCTTCATGTTTGTTTGTTTTTAAATTACAAAATAACCTTGAGCTGTACTCATGAGGTAGTGAGATTTTAATCAGTATTTTCGCTAAAAATAATACATGACAAAATTATGTAAAAAATTAAATAATAGAGCTTAGTGTTGTCCAGGTTATAACACACCACTCCCCAGTTTGGGTGTAAGAGAGCATGCTTTCCTGGCATACAAAATAAAATGCTGTGTCAGTTCCTGTGTTGCAATTTTTTTCTGGAATTCGCCTTTTAAGAGGCAAACATTTATCTTATTGAACTATTAGCACCATGTATCTCAAAATTAAAATGTCTTTCTTTATCTGCCTTGTCAACAGTCATAGTTACTGCCCCACAGACACATACATATCTGAACTGCTAAACAACTTAGCCAAAAATGTCTGGGAGTTACAGGGTAATTAATTTATGAAAGCTTTCCCCCATTGCTTTTGAGTATTTTTTACTGTTGAATCATTATATTTTGTGGTTGTTTCAAGTGAGGTACAGGTCCCTAGAATTGTAGTAATGGCCTGCACAAGAGAATATCAGAAATTATTAGGAGGTTTCCGACTTCATTTGTATGCATGTAATTGAGTGAAGTCCTTCACCTCTTAGTATGAACACAGCTCTAGTTTCCAAATAGAAAATTCTTGTGTCAGAATCAGTCAGTGGTTTGATAAATGTTTGATTGAGAAGCCCAGTTGGAGCCTCACAGGGATTGAGTGCACAGAATGATCTTGATTCATTCAAGATGGCTCCGGGTCAGCAGAGGGCAGCAGGGGAGCTGACCACCAGGCTTCCCCGGTGCAGCTCTCCTTTCCTTTTGTGAAAGCTCTGGCAGGTCCACGTCTCCCAAGTCATACTCCCTTCCTGAAATGCAAATTCACACTCTTATTTCAAATCCAGGCGAAGACTCAGCACATCACACCACTTGTTTCAAGGCCAGGCATAGAGTAGCGACCTATCAAGTGATGACATTTTTTAGATGTATTGGGTCCTGAAAAGGTGTTTGAAACAAGAATCAAATTAAAAAATGAGTGGTTACATATGTGTAACCGACTCTGTTGCAAGCCATTAAAAAGGAATGTGTTCAGGCTGCCATTTGCCTCAAGTCCTGAGACCCTTTCTCTGTGAGCGTGGGCAGAGGCCTGGCATCCCCTTGCTGTCTGGGCCTGGTATTGCCCAGGCTATTTGAATTGGGGGCAGGACCCACCTTGGGACCCCAGTCCAGGCTTCCCATTCCTGAGAAACATGATCGCAGAGGTAATTATTTGCTGAAATATTGCTTTTCAAACATGAGTCCTCTTTTTTTTTTTTTTTAAACAAGTTCTGTATCTATTTTATCTGAACCAGCAGTAGTCATAACAGCCATTTCTCTTCTAAGGGAGAAATGAGCTATCAGTTTTTCTCAGGCTGGAGCATTCTCCCACCTGTCCTCAATTTAATGCACAAATGAAAGCACATAAATCTTTGTGACATTTTGGCATAAAGCACCTACTTCAGATGACTCCTTTAGGAAACTCCGAACCCAGGTGTTTGGTTTTTGCATAAACTTTGTGAAATGAGAATTGTAATGCGACTATGTGTACACAAAGACTTGCACGCACGCGTGTGCACACACTCACACATAGACACACACACACTCACCTCCCCCAGAATGGTGGTAGCTTGTGAAATGTCGAGAGTCAAAGGGATGTGGGTGGAGGCAGGCGAATAACATGTGTGCAAACTTAATATTTCTTTTCCTCACCTGAAGTTGGACCCAGACAGTTAAATTATAATTACAGCCCCATCTGGAGTGGGAGAAAGTACAGTACCTGAGTGCTCCATGCCTTTCAGCTATGGGTACTTTGTCAGGTAAAATAAACACACGTCCCGTTTTTCAGCCTGGGGTCAAACTCAACAAAAGCCATGAAAGATGGGACACTTATCAAGAACCAGATTGTGAAATGATCGGAGTGACAGCACCCACGGGAAGAAGGAAGAAAAAGGTTGGTTGCTGCTCTCAAGTCAGATGCTCAGAAAGGCTCCCGCCTTAAAGAATGTGAATTCTCAGTGAAACGCACGGTGCATCGTAGGAAGAGGGAGGAGCCCTTCCCTGGTCCAAGAAATTGGAACCAGAAGCGCCATGACCAAGTTTGGGTCCTGGCCATTCTTTGAGTGTCTTTAATGGGTCACCTTCCCTGGTCACAAAGTGGTGAGGCTGTAACACTAATGATCCTTGGAGGCCATGTTCCTCAGTCTGTGAAAAAGCTCACCCTGTCGTCTGCCAGAATGACAGTGATGCTGGAGAAGCTGCACGCGCACGCGCGCGCACACACACACACACACACCCCCCTCCGTGGGTTTGTGCCTCTGACAGCCATCATCCTTGAGGATAGTTTGGACTACCATTTCCACTATTTGGATAAACCAACCCATAAATTTTCCCTTTTTGCCTAATCTAACACTGAGTTCCTGTAACAAGCTATGAAAAGGGCTCAATCTGTGATGTCAATAATAAAATGACATTTTAAAGTGGATTAGTTTAGCCTGATTTAAAAGTATCAAAGCTAGTAAAAACAATTGATAATACTAACTGAGGATTTACTCCGTGCCAAGTTCTAATCTCAAGAATATCTCTGTCTTACACACACAGACATACACAAGTTCGTGGATGATGGATTTGATAGATGAGTTTATTTTTTGGGGGGTGGGGAGAAATTGAAATCCCACGTAGGAATGGATTTCTCTCTTCATTTAATCCTCACCTCTCCATGAAAGAGGAGCAACTGTTGTCTCTCTTTTGCAGATGTGGAAATTGAAGGACAGAAAGGTGAAGAGATTGGCCCAAGATCTCGCAGCTAATGAGGAGGGATTGGACGTGAGAGCCAGGTGCGAGAGCTCATCCTGTTAACAATCCTGGACTGTCCATATGCAGATCAAGGCCGTGGGCAGCATCATCCCTCTCATCCTGTTGCAACTCATAACCATCCTGGGAGAGAAGCGAGTGGAGTTAAAACTAATGTGCCTGGAAAGTAGGCAAAAGCCCAGAAACAACTTTATCTGTGCCAGAGCCAAAATAGAGTGAGAATTACTGACCTCCTATTAATAGAGAGATTTCCAATTATTTTAATCTTTGGCTTGCCATGATTTTTGTTTCTTTGAAAGCTGTATCTTAGTGGAAGGCATTGTAGATGAGGGGGTTCTTCATAAAGTTCATAGAAAAAGTGTCGTGAAAAACGATGGATGGATTTCAAAAAAATTTTTGCAGCCAAATAGACTTACCACTTAGTGCCAGTTTCTGTGAACTTTTTGAAGTAGCTTTGTATGTGAACACTGTGTGGCGTATGTGCTGCAAGAAGAGAAATAAATACATGTTGATAACCATTGGCTCCTTGGCCTTTCTCACATTCAAGGGGGCATGAGGACCACTTGGAGAGCTTGATAAAGCACAGATTGTTGTGTATCTCGTTTGGTTTCTGATACAATGGGTCTGAAAGAGGGTTAGCAAGTGCCCAGGTGAGGATCACGCTGCTGGTCTGGGTGCCACACATTGCCTGGTGTCTATTTTGTAAGCACCTGAAACATGTGGTTCATTCAGAAAAATTACTCAGCCAATGAGTGACTCAGAAACGTTGCTGGTGGTTTAGCCTGACTGATGTTCCACAACGGCCATATCAGATGGATGTATTTCAGCAGTACTGAGGTGAATGAAATGGCGCATGGCGATATTTGAAAATTTTATAAGAAAATATTAAATTACTGTTTTTATGTAACAGTTTACTATATGAACATAACAAGGTGGTATATATGGCTATTCATTGTCTAATAAAATCACAGGTTTTCATTACTATGACTTGATGCCAGATGATTATAAAAGCCTTCTGTATATGAGTATCCCTAATGTGTGATTAGATGCTTGCTTTCACTTGCAACTCATGCAAGGATAAAATAAGGGATGATTTCAGTGTTATCATTATTATGTTGGCAGCTGTCTGTCATGCAGATATGTTGCAGAGTTGGGCTGTTGTCATTTTTTTCTCTCTTAATTTGAGTAATAGTCTTTAAATGGATCAAAATATTCCTTTTTGATCCAAAAGAGGGATTATAATTGATTTTGTTCTAGGGATACAAATATATTTTTTGGGAGTGTTAGGTGAACTTGATATGCCTACACTTTAAAAAAATATTATACTTGGGAGACAGAAATTAAGAGACAGAGAGAGAGAGAGAGAGAGACAGACAGAGAGAGAGAGACAGAGAAAGAACTCAAATGTCTGAAATGGAGGGCCAGGCAGTTGATAGTAGGAGCTGTGATCTCAATCCAGAGCTCCCATGTAGAGAGCCAACCCCTGCTGCTTCCCAGGATGTGTATCAACAGGAAGCTGGAAACAGAGGCCAGAGCCAGGAATCAGATCCAAGCACTCTGATATGGGATGTGGGCATCTGAACTGTCAGCTTGATCACCAGACCAAGTGGCAGCCTGGCAGCTTCTCTTTAATGCAAGATTTCAGTTAAAAAAAAAAAAAAATCTCTTCCTGAAGTGTTTCCTAGAGCCACTGAAGGCGTTTCATGCTTACAAGTTAGTTTACTGAAGCAAAATAGACTGAAACAAAGGAATATCTTGGGAAAAATGTGCCTTTTTCAAGAAATGATCGTTCTGTTTATGAGAGAGTTTACTTTTATTGTAATGGCTTTGTCATGTTTTGGTGTCAGGGTTATACTGACCTTGTAAAATGAGTTAACAAAATGTTTTCTTTCTCTAACTCTGAGAGAGTTTATATAAGATTGCTATGATTTCTGAAATGTTTGGAAGACTTCACTCATGAAACCATCTGGGCCTGGAGTTTTCTTTGAGGGAAGGTTTTTAATTAAAAATTCAATTTCTTTAACAGATTTCTTATTTCTTCTTGTGTTAGTTTTGAGAAGTTATGTTTTACAAGGGATTTGTCCATTTCGTCTACATTGTTTAATTTATTGGCAAAAAGCATTTTCAAAATAGCCCATTATAAGATGTTTAATGCAGTGGTGTGACCTTTTAAAATGCTAATGTAGTTTCTTTGTTATCTCTCTCTCTCTCTCTTTCTGCCCTTTTTTTCTTGATTAGATTGCTAGGAATTTATCAATTTATTCATCTTTTCAAAGAATAAACTCTTGGCTTTAAATTTTCCCATTGAATACTTGTTTTTTCTTTCTTTGCTTTCAGCACTCACCTGCATCATTGCCTTGCAGTTAAATCCTTTGTGTATAATTTATTAATATATATTTTATTTTATTTTTACTCTTTTTTAATATACACATTTAAAGCTATAAATTTGCCTCTAAATACTGCTTAATCTGCCTCCCACACATTTTGATACATCATATTTTCATTATTAATTCCAAAATATTTTCTGATCTCTGTTTTAATTGGTTTTTCAACTCATAGGTGATACAGAAGTGGGTTGCTTAATTTCCAAGCATTTGGAGATTCTCTTGTTTTCTTTCTATTATTTGTTTCTAGATTAATCCTGCTGTATACTGATATTTTGAAGTTTTCCACTGCAGAAGGCCCTTTTCAAATGCTTTTGACCCCAGTGCATGGTCTATTTTGGTAAATCTTCCACATATACTTTAAAAAGAATGTGTATTCAGCGATTATGGGGTATAGAGTTTTAGATATATTCAATTCCTCAGATTGAGAGGGAAAAGATGAAATATTTCCCAAAGTTTAGGAGATAAACGAACCATATTTACTAAATATTTACTCCTGAAGTTTCTTTTAAAAATTGTGTGTTTTCAAAAGTTTTTTGTATTTATTTGAAAGGCAGAAAGAGAAAGAAAAGGAGGAGAGAGATCATCCATCTGCTGTTTCACTCCCCAAATGCCACAACAGCCAGGTCTAGTTCATATTCAGTCCAGGTCTTCCATGTGAGTGAGAGGGATCCAAATACTTGAGCCCTCACTTATTACCTCTTAGAGTGCACAGTAGCAGGAAGCTGGATGAAAAGTGGAGCCACACTAGGCTAATCCTCCGCCTTGCAGCGCCGGCACACCGGGTTCTAGTCCCGGTTGGGGCGCTGGATTCTGTCCCAGTTGCCCCTCTTCCAGGCCAGCTCTCTGCTGTGGCCCGGGAGTGCAGTGGAGGATGGCCCAGGTGCTTGGGCCCTGCACCCCATGGGAGACCAGGAAAAGCACTTGGCTCCTGGCTCCTGCCATCGGATCAGCGCGGTGCGCCGGCCGCAGCGCGCCAGCCGCGGCGGCCATTGGAGGGTGAACCAACGGCAAAGGAAGACCTTTCTCTCTGTCTCTCTCACTGTCCACTCTGCCTGTCAAAAAAAAAAATAATAATAAATAAATAAATAAATTTAAAAAAAAAAAAAAAAGAAAAGTGGAGCCAGACCTTGTAGCCAGGCAGTCATAAATAGAATGTGGGTGTCATATCATGCCTGCTCCACCTGCTGGAATCTTGACACCACCCCTGCCCCTGCTTTGGCAACAGGTCTCGGGTATTTTTTTAATGTTCATCTGACTGCTCAGCCTCTCCATCTGGATGTGTAATGAGCATTTCAAGTAATACACCCCCTGAGGAACCTTTGATTCCCTTTCAAATCTGTGCCTTTCTAGCTCTGCCCATCGCCATAAACGCTCTCCAGGTGCTCAAGCTGAAAACAGTAGGAGTGCCTCCAATTTCTCTTTATCTCATACTGTCATCTTCTCCACCAGTAGATACATTCTCTGTGCTTTAAAATGTACTCTGACCTCACTGCTTCTCAGCTCCCATAGTCCTGGTCTAAGCCCCTGCCATTTTTTTCCCAAGGTCATTATGGTGGTAACTTCCCAATGTGTCTCCCCAGCTTTTTTGTCCTCTTCCTTCTCCATGTTCAGACCCTGCCATCTACTGTATGAGGACACACAGTTTCGTGTCTCCTGTAACACTTGGATTCATTCTAAAACAAGAAAATCCATGGCAGGTGTCTGACTTAGTAGTTAATATGCCTGAAGCACAGATTCAAGGGCCTGGGTTCGAGTCCTGATTTTGTTCCTGATTACTGCTTCTGGTTAACACAGACCCTGGGAGGCAGCAGGTGATAACTCAAGTAAGTTGGTTCCTGCTACCCTCATGGGAGACCTAGATTGAATTCCTGGCTCCCAGTTTTGACCTGATCTAGTCTTGGCTGTTGTGGGCATTTGGGGGGCATATACCAGTGGATGGAAACTGTTTTGTGTCTGTCTGCCCATCTCTGCCTCTCAATTAAATAAATAAGTAAAACCAGAAAAGAAAATCTGGTCAAATCAGTCCTTTACTAGAAAACAAAGAAATGTGTAAAATTCAAAGGCTTATCATCACATGCAGAAAAAATGAGAAAGTTCTTCCCATGGCCTGTAAAGACCTAGGTGATCTGGCCCTCCCTCCCTCTCAGTCGCATTTCCCACCACACTCCTGCTGTCCATGACACCTCAAGCCACTAGGGCCCTGTCGCGTTGGTTGGGAACTATCTAGCTTGCTCTGGCCTCAGTGCCCCTGCACTTGCTGTTCCTCTGTCCAGAATGCTCTTCCCCCATCTCCTCCTAAAACCCACTCTTTCCATCTCATGTCTTGACTCACATGTAACCTCTTCAGCGAGGCAGTCCCTGGCCACAGTATTTACTACCCGACCCTGCTTCTCCTGAGCTGTCCCTCTCCACTTCCCCCAGATACGATTTCTTCCTACTACTTGTCAACACCTCAAATTATTTATAGACTCACTGGTGTATTTGTGTTTGTTTCTCTTCTGAACTAGAGCATATACTCCATGAGGTCAGCAGCAGTGTTGTCTGGTTTGTGGCTGAACCCCAACCATGTAAACCAGTGCCTGGCACACAATACTCGGTAAGTATGTGTTGGCTGGAGACCTGTATAGAGAGATGAATATTTAGTTGAAAAAAAAAAAAGTTTGCATCCATTTGTATGTACCAGCTAGTCACGTCCTCCTGTAGATAGCACCAAGTTGTTTAGTTTTAATTAGAAGTTTCACTTATACCTTATAAGGCTAAACTTCCGTGGATTATAACATCAGTAATTCAGGTGGGAATTATCATCAACAAGTTTGAGTTGTTTTTCTTTACCAGCACAGAAGCCACACAGTAAGAGACAATGTGCACACATGTTCATTTTTTAAACATAAATTTACATAATGCATACAAACTCCTAAAAGAAAAGGCAATGTGCATACTCAGTGCAGGGGTGGACTGGACAGCAGGCATGGGTTCTGATGGGTCAGAATTTCAAGGTAGAAATTCTGGGGAGGGTAGAGGAATTTTTGTTTTTTTTCAAGGAAGTATTTTTTTGTTCTAATTCTTATTTTGTAAATGACTATGTATGTTACCACCTTCCCATCCCCAGCAGGATGGGCTAGGCCTTTATAAACCTCACTATTAGTAATTCTCACCTCAACCCTACATCTCAGATGTGGCCTTTTTCCATTTCTCAAATGTGGAAACTGACACACAAAGACAGTGTGTGTAAGGTGACAGGTCTGCAGTGCTGTAGAAGCAAGACTGCCTGTCATCTCACTGTCTCCCCAGTTGGCAAGCCTTCTATTGTTTAAAAATTATTTATTTACTTAGTAAATTTGTATTTGAAAGGCAGAGAAACACAGAGAGGGACAGACAGGTTTTCCATTCACCAGTTCACTCCCTAAATGCCCATAACAGCTAGGACTGGATCAGGTCAAAACCAGAAGCCCAGAACTCAGTCTGACTCTCCTATGTAGACAGCAGGGGCCCAAGTAGCTGAGCCGTCAGCTGCTCCTTCCAGGGTGTGCATTAGCTGGAAGTTGGAGCTGAAGATACAGAGCTGGGACTTAGACCCAGGCCCTCAAATTTGGGATGCACGCCTCCCAGGTGGTCTTAACCACTGTCCCAGATGCCCACCCCACAAATTGGCACACATCCTCTTAGAACATGTATTGTCTCTCTCTTGGCTTGACCATAGAAAATCATTCAATAAGTAATATTTAGGAGTTGATATTCATTGAGACTGTCTATGTTCTCCCAAAGTTTGTATGTTGAAAGTAATGCCCAGTGTGATGGTATTTAGAGGTGGAGCCTCCAGGGTTGATTATGTAGTAGAATGGATTCCTCACAAATAGGATTGCTGTCCTTATAAAGAGACCCCAGGACCCTCACCCTTTCTGCCAGGTTAAGACACCATGAGAAGATGGCCATTCATGAACCAGGAAGGGACTTGGACCAGATACCGAAACTACCAGCATCTTGATCTTAGCTTTCCCAGCCTGCAGAAGTGTAGGAAGTAGATTTCTGTTGTCTGTAAACCACCCAATCTGTCATGATTCTGCTGTAGCTGTCCAAAGGGACTAAGACAAGAAATAAGGGTAAGCACTACTTGTAAATAGGTACTCAGGTCTCATGTAGTCACTTACCCGTAACTTTTTATTGTGGCCAGGCAGGCACAGCTATTTTAGAATTTCCTCTACTTATATGTCCTATGACTTCTTTTTCTGTGTCCCTCACTAAATTTCTGCCAGCCTTGTGGAACAAACAAGATGTTTTCCATTATTTCCAGCATTCAAGCACAGTTGTGCAATAAACTGTTCTTGTCTGATTGTTTTTATGTCATTGTGTGATGATGCTTCAGACCAAAAAGCGCTTTGAGGTCTTGTCAGATGTTTGTGACCTCTGTTATTGCACAGAGCATGTCTTTACTTAATTCAAGTATTTGTTCAAATGTTCCCTCCCCAGAGCAGCCTTTCTCTGAATACCCTATCATTAGTGTCTTCCCCTCTATCCATTTACCTTACTTTAATTTTTCTTCATAGCTCTTGTCACTAACTGACCTTCTAGTATACGTTCTTAGAAAAACAACTGCTTTTCTCTTCCACAACGTGAAGTAATCTCCACGAAGCAGAGACTTGGCCTTATTCACCACTATCTATCCAGAGCCTAAGAAGCACCTGACACATAAAAAGGTCCTCAGTGGCTGTCTGTCAAGAGAGTGAATGCTGCCTCCACCTTGCAAGTGCAAGGCTACACTGACTCCTGTGAGAAAGTGGAAATTGGGCGTCCCTGATTTCAGGGCATTGCACATGATGTAGAATCACTCGGTGCAATGTGTTCCTCCGTTGATGTTAGCTGCTCAACTTGAGGATCAAGTCTTCTCTGACTTGCATTCTAAGCGTAAGTTCTCAACAGCGTCAGGGTAAGTTAGGCCAGCGATTCGCAAACTTTGCTTCAGTCAATTGTGTATGTCCAGCAGAGGTGTAGTTAAGAGATGCTTAATAAAATTATTACCTGCAAAATTTTAGGATAAATGATGGTCTTTCCCCAAGGTAAAGGGGATGAAATGATGCTGATAATACACTTTTCAAAAATAGTAGTGAACATTCTCCTTACCCGTAATTTCCTTTTAAAATCTGTGATGTGCCTTTACTGACAAGTTCAATGGTAGCACGTGTATTTGGTGGGAGACCTCTAAATAACTGAGTACATGTATTTGAACACATGTAGCTTCTGGAAGGCAGCAGAGAATGAGATCTAGTCCCTTTCCTCATAGAGATTGTCTAAATCTTATGGGAGAGAATGACAGCTATTTTTAAAAATGTATATTAGGGTTGAGTTGTTGAGTTAAATATCCATAACACAGCCACAGTTTTAGCTAGAAAAAAAAATGTTCCTAGGTCATGTGTGCTAGAAAAAAAAAAAAAGCATTGTCAGTGTTTCTTGGGCTTCTACAAAGAAACCATAACTTCCAGATGTACTGTCCCTGAGTGTGTGTTGAGGAGCCTTTTGGTTCAAAAATGGTCCTCTCAATTCTGGGCGCCGCTTGAGCCTGGTGGTTAGAATCTGTGATGTTGGTCCTGCAATTGGTATTTTAGCTACAAATCACACCAGCCCCCATTGCATATATTTGTTTTCTCAGCCTGTAATAAATAGTTTCATCTACAGAGATCTCATCTGAACACAAACAGTCCCAGCCTTAGAAGACTCTCCAGCAAAGCTTTTGAAGCATGTGTGTGTTGGGGGTAATCATCTCCAGGCAACAGTGGTTGGTCCTCCAAGTTGTCGTTGCCGTCATCTTCCTGTGAAATGTTCATCCTGTTGAATGCTCATAAATGGGCATTTTCATGCAGAGTCCATCATTTTGAATTGAATTTCAATAACTCCTCCAGTGGCCGCCTGCCAGCCTAGCAATGTCTGTGCCTGTGAAATGAGCCTCAGTGAGTCTGTTTGGAAGTAGGCTGGCTTGGGTTTTAGCAACAGACAAGGCTAAGTCCAGAAAATATTTTGTGATATTTATTTTTATAGCATGAATGAGCAAAACATTCAGGAAAGTGCTGATGGGGCTCTAATTCTCTAACTCCACGTTAGAAGATAGAAATTCAGAGTCTCTGCTGGCCCCCTCCCCAGTCCCACCCCATTCTCCTTTTTTTTCCCCTAATGGGAGCTAATCTTTGCCAGCTTTGGCAGAAGCAGGGATGTGTTGAAATGCTGTAAATTACAGTTAATGTGATATGATTCTGTTTATCCTTGTCCAACACTGTTGAACCTACCAATTTTTCCTTCTTGGCTTCTCATGAATTAAGGCAACCAGAGAATAGGCTGTTGGAAGACTGGTTCATTTTCTTTTTTCAGTCAGAGCAAAGACAGGCACACATGATGAATGCTGGCCCCCCAAAAAAGGCTCTTTTTTTTTCTTTTGGTCTTTTGGACAAGATGTGAAAAAGCTCAAGACACTGCTCTATTTACTTTTGAAGAAAAGAATTATGTTCTGGGATATAAGGAATTGGAAACATGATTAAATTTCCTAGACAAGATTCACACCAATAAAACTTTAATGGAGAATGTCAGTGATTTCATAGCTGTGCACTGCATACTCAGTAGACAGCTGCCATCTTTGAGTTTCTCATTCATGACTGGAAGGATTACCCCAAGCAGACAGCCACTGACAGGTTTTTATACCTGTTTCATAGAGTGCTATCCCTTCACAGATAAACCTTTGAATGCAAGTGTCTTCAGATGCTTTAGCGATCCTGCTGCTAAATGAGCAGAGAAATTAATTGTTCACATGCCAGTCTCTGGGTTAGCTGGGAAGCTGTGCAGGGTAGAGGCTAGGGAGAGATTTGATGATGGGTTCAAAGTCAAAGATAGGAACAGTAAGTTCTGGTGTTTCATTGTAGGGAGGGGTGGTTATTAGCTACCAATATTGTGTCACATAGTTCAAAGTAGCTGGAAGAGCAGATCACAAAGAGAGACAGATGTTTTGAGATGATGCATAACCTAAATAGCCTGAGTTGACTAATACACAATATAAAAATGTACTGAAATGTCCCTGTAGGACACACAATTATCATCTGCCAAGTAAATGAAAGAAAAAGAATATATTTATAAAAGAACTCAGAGGATTGTGAGAGTTGCATCTTTATGTATTTTTAGGTTTTAGAAGAGGATATATTATGCGTGTGGAGGTTTTTGTGAAGAGGTGGGGAAAAAATGATCATTATGTGGCCAGTACAGATAATACAAAATAATTGGAAAAAAGTTCCAAATTGACTATTTTAGGTCTGGTTTGGTTTGCTTTGAGTATACACAACCCAATTTAGATTCGATTGAATGAATAAGACTGAGTAGCTGTGTATACGAAGAATAATGGAGAGCAATGTAAGAAAATATCCATCGCAACCAACAAGTAATAATCAACTTTAACAATTGTGTAGGGGGCCGTTGCCGCAGCTCACTAGGCTAATCCTTCACCTAGCGGCGCCAGCACACCGGGTTCTAGTCCCGGTCGGGGCGCCAGATTCTGTCCCGGTTGCCCCTCTTCCAGGCCAGCTCTCTGCTGTGGCCAGGGAGTGCAGTGGAGGATGGCCCAAGTGCTTGGGCCCTGCACCCCATGGGAGACCAGGAAAGGCACCTGGCTCCTGGCTTCGGATCAGTGCAGCACGCCGGCTGTGGCGGCCATTGGAGGGTGAACCAACGGCAAAGGAAGACCTTTCTCTCTGTCTCTCTCTCTCATTGTCCACTCTGCCTGTCAAAAAAAAAAAAAAAATTGTGTAGGGAGTGGGTAGGATGGGGCCTTAAGAGGCAAATGATGAGGACTTCAAGGTTTTCTAAATCAGAGACAGACACTGTCCTCTACATGGAGAGATAATCTTGAAGCATTTGCCTTTCTTTGTGATAAGACAAGGAAAGAAAAGACTGCATAAAAGCAAACAAGGAAGGAAACTCTGAAGCCCAAAATGAATCTTGATGAAGATTGGGATGGGAGAGGGAGTGGGAGATGGGATGGTTGCGGGTGGGAGGGTGGTTATGGAGGGAAAAAGCCACTATAATCCAAAAGTTGTACTTCAGAAATTTATATTTATTAAATAAAAGTTAAAAAAATAAAGTATTTTACAAGTAAAAAGAAAAAACCTATTATTTGAGAGACAAAGACAGAATGAGCGCCCATCAACTTGTTCACTTCCCAAGTGATCACAAAGTCTGGGGCTGGTCCAGGGCTGAAGCCAGAAGCCAGGACTTAATCCAGGTCCCATACATGGGTGGCAGGAACCCAACTACTTGAACAATCACTACTGTTCCCAGTGTCTTCATTGTCAGGAAGTTGGAGTCAGGAGCTGGAGCCAAGTGTTAAACCCAGAAGGTGGGCATCTTAACCAGTATCTTAACTGTTAGGCCAAATGCCCACCCTGAGACCCTAAATCTTGACTGGGTAGTAGTTACAAGAGTTCATACATGAGACTGGCATTGTGGTGAAAGCAGATTAAGCTGCCGCCTGCAACATTGGCATCCTATAGAGACACCTGTTTGAGTCCCAGCTGCTCCACTTCCTATCCAGCTCCGTGATAATGCACCTGGGAAAGCAGTGGGAGATAGCTCAAGTGCTTGGGCCCCTACATCTATGTGGGAGACCCAGAAGAAGCTTCTGGCTCCTGACTCCAGCCTGGTCCAGCTCAGGCTGTTGTAGCTGTTTGGGGAGTGAACCAGCAGATGGAAGATATTCTCTCTCTCTCTCTCTCTCTCTCTCTCCCCCTCTTCCCCTCTACCCCTCTACCCCTCTGCCCCTCTCCCCCCCTCCCCTCCCCCCCCATACCTCTGTAATGTTACCTTTCAAATAAATTAAAAAAATTTAAAGAAGAGTTCGTACTTTATTCCCAACTCACAAAACTTCAAATAGGTCAATTTTAATGAGCACATCCAGTTCCCAGATCTTGTTCCCTAGTCACCTTTCCTCCAAGAAATGACTGATCTCAGGGCTGGGGCAGGTATATACAAGGTGAGCTTGCAATTTGTTGTTGTGTTCGAAAGCAACAAAGTGATGGGAAGAAGGCAAGAAGGATAGAAGGGAGAGAGACTGAGAGGGAGGGAAGGAAAGAAGGGCATGCCACAAGGAAATAATAGACTGGATGGGAACATCTTGGAAAATGTGGGCACCGGTTTAGTTAAGAATATAAATCATTGAAAAGAACAAACATTTAAGTCAATTTGAATAATAAATAGGAAAATGGAGCTCTTACCTACAAAAGAATATAAACTGGTAACTGGGAAGGGCATGTTGGAACTGGAAAGTTATTGTTTTGCATCTCACGTGATAAAGTTTTGTTCAGGCAAGAAGTGTTAAAAATGATAAATACATGTGTATATTTTAATAATGAGCAGTATATTTGAGTGATCTCAAAGAATCTTCCCCAAAATTACTTATCAGCCCCAAGGGAAGAAGTCATAACTCTATAGTGGAGAAATTGGATTATCCAGTCCTTGTTACTTAATACACCAAGATTCGCCAATGGGAGTAATGCTCTTGTGTGCCCTGCAATGGTATGCATAGCCATCGTTTCAGCTGTTGAACTGAAACAGGATTAAAACAAAGGATATCAAGAGGCAAGTCTCAGAAGGGGGTAAAATGGCCAATTGGTTTATAAGAACAAGAAATACCCAATTAGTCATCAGGAAAATACAATCAAAACCATGCAGTACTGATTTTCCTCAGACTATTACTTAAATGATCAATGATACTTCATTTGCCAACAACACAAGGTAGGAACTTTCATTCTATTTGCATGATTGTAACTTGCTAAATAGTTCTAGAATGCAAGTTAGTGTTATTTATCTGTGTTAAATATATTTACCCCTAAACTGAGGAATGTCAGGTGTAGCAAGTACTCCTAGAATATGCCACTAATCATATGCACAGAGCAATTGTTCTGGTATTTTGATAGCAGTTAACAGCTGTATCAAATATATTGTTGCATATGAAATTACCACAAACTTAGCAGCCTAAAACAACCTACATTGATGTAGTGTCTATTTTTCTGGATTGGAAATCCTGGCCCAGCTCCACTGACTCCTCTGTTTCCAGGTCTCTTGGAGGCTGCGATTTGTCCAGGCCTGGGGGCTCACCTGGGAGTCTAATTGGGAAGGATCCACTTCCAAAGTCACATGGCTGTTGGCAGGATTTGGTCACTTGTGGCCTGTTGGCCAGTGGCTGCCTGTAGCTCCATGCCACACACACCTTTCTATAAATCATCAAGAGTCTAACGGCAAGAGACAAGTGACAATCTCCTATAACCTAATCACAGAAGTGACCTGCCATCACTTTGCTAAGACCCAAGGCCAGTCCACAGGCAAGGGGAAGGATTTCATTGTGGCATGCAAAGGAAAAGGTAGGGATCGCTGGAGGCCAGCTTAACTTCTTTTCCCACGACAACCCAGAAGGAAACAGTTCATTATGCCAGCATCACAGCTTGGGAAATGCTTCAGTAGTTAATAAGAATTGATGTCAATATATGCATGCATAGACTTGGAGAGATTTCCCACACCTATTGTTAACTGAATAAGCCAAACAATGCTATTTTGTGAACAATGAATACATTATGACCCCATTTATGTGGAAACACAATAATTTTCCAAAGGAGACATGCTTATGTGAATATGTATATACATTTAAATACAAAGACAAAAGCTCAAGAAGGGACACAGCCACTCCTCTCAACATGGTTACAAATGGAAGGAGATGTGGGTTCAGGGTGATGGGGGCAGAATGGGAAACTTTCATATTTTATTCATCATTCTTATGGTTGTTGGTATTGTTTCCTTTTGGTGGGAATATGTATATTGTATATTTGTTTCTAAAAAATCGTGTTTAACCGTGTTAATGTTTGAAAGTGTAATATGCTACGTGCATCATACAGGTGTCCTGACGGTGCCTACTCATTGCACAGATTCTGAGGATTCGATTTTCTGCTGCAGCTTTATCTCAGATATTTCTGACTGTGTTGGAACAAGGAAACCAGTAAGTGCTGTGCTGTCCCAGCCCCAGGACGTGCTCTGGATGTAGCAGTAGTGTGGTTGCAGGGAGCTAGCAGCTGTATTCCATTGAACACTCTTCTTTCCCAGACACAAAAGAGAACCACAGCAGCCACGCAGAGTGGAGTCTGGTACTATAGGGCATTTCTGGGAGGCCACAGGAAGGGATGCAGGACAAACAGTGCCTTCTGTACAGTATCTTTTTGCTAGTTATATGACTTATTTGCTCGTCAGAAGATGAACCCAGACTCCCATGGTGGAGGCAGTGGCTGTTCAAGAGCCACTTGAGCTTGGGTGACAGGCTCACCCATCTGTACCCTGTTTCTTCACCTGTAAAATGGTGACAGTTCTCACAGGCTTGCTGTAGGGACTGAGCAAGCTGATAAGTCACACACTTGGGTCAGAGCCCACAGCATATGAAGCACTCCAGGAAAATTGGCAGTTGTTGCTATTATTGATGAAGGTATCTGTTTTCCACAAAAGTTGGCCTTTACTACACCTTCACGAAACTCCTCTTCCCAGATCCGTGACAAGTACTCTACCTGCATGAGCTCATCGAATCTCTCCAACCTGCTAATGGGCAAGCTACTCTTGATCTTTCCGTTGTGTAGACGGGAACCCCGAGGCTCAGAGATTCAGTTACCTCCTCAAGTTCCCGAGCTAGGAAGTGATGGTGCTGAGGCTGGAACTCAGGACTGCGCGTCTCTGAAGCTTCTGCTCTTTACAACCAGGCTCTGTAGCATCCTGGGACTGAAAACCCATGTTACTTTTCCCTGGGGATGTTGGGAAAGCTCTGTCAGGCATTAGAGCATCTGGGAACAGACCAGAGCACTGTGGTAAAGATAGGACAGAAACATGAGGGGAAATGGACGAATGGATTGTGAGAGTAGGAAACTTCCTCAGAAACCTGCCAATCAGGAAGATCCAAAATAAGTAAAGAAAATGGATTTGGCTTGCACAATTAACAAGCTGAATGTGTGTGTATAAATCAAATCTACTCAGCAGAGGACACTCATTCTTGTTGTACCCAGAATATTTGGAGAAGTTGACCCAGACTTCCCTCTCCCCTGGTGGTATTCCTACAGGCGCTGAAGTTGAACTACAGGCGTTCAGTGACAATCACTCAGAAAGACTTCTCTAGGGTGCTTGATGCAGTCCATGTGTGCTTCCAGGTAAGTCCATACCTATGTCCCATTTTGTCACAGTGATAGTGGAAATTTCATTTTACCCACAATGCCACTGAGCATTGGACCATAATCTAGCAAAGGCGACGTCTGCTAGTCGTGCCACTGAGAAGGAAGGCACAGTGCATCCCTGTGAAGCGCAGCGGCGGTTTTCTTCCCACGGGCTGTGTGCCTGCCCAGGAGTCACAGCTTCAACAGACTGCCGTGGGAAAAACGCCTCTTGAGGTGTTCCAAACAGTCATCTTTCCCTCAAACTTGTTTCCTAAAATAAAGCTTCAGACTAAGAATGTAAACCTGATTGTCAACAGGGTAGATAACAACAAGGATCGGCCGGGATGTGCAGGAACTAAAGCCCTCTGACTTTGCTGGTGAGAACATAAAATAGTGAGGCCATTTTTGAATATGGTGCAGGTGTTCCTGCAAATGTGAAACATAGAATTCCCCTATGAGGGGTGGGCCATTCGTGTGCACTTGTATCCCGTGTTGGAGTGCCGGGTTTGAGTTGAAGAGCTTCTGCTTCTGATCAGCTTGCTGCCAGTGCACACCCCAGGGGCCTCAGGTGCTGGCTCAAAAACTGGGTCCTTGCCACCCACATGGAAGACAAGGAATTCTGGGCTCTGGCTTCAGCCTGGCCTGTCCCTGGCTGTTGTGGCATTTGGGGAGTGAACCAACAGATGCGAGATCTCTCTCTCTCTCTCTTTTCAGATAGAAAATGACAATAAATAAATAATAATTGAAAGGAAACAATTGCTGAATGACTTAGCAGTTCCATTCCTAGGTATCTACTTAAGAGAAGTGAAGGCCGGCGCCGTGTCTCACTAGGCTAATACGCCTGCAGTGCCAGCACACCGGGTTCTAGTGCTGGTCAGGGCGCCAGATTCTGTCCCGGTTGCTCCTCTTCCAGTCCAGCTCTCTGCTGTGGCCCGGGAGTGCAGTGGAGGATGGCCCAAGTGCTTGGGTCCTGCACCCGCATGGGAGACCAGGAGGAAGCACCTGGCTCCTAGCTTCGGATCAGTGTGGTGCGCCGGCCGCAGCGGCCATTGGGGTGTGAACCAATGGCAAAGGAAGACCTTTCTGTCTCTTGCTCTCACTGTCCACTCTGCCTGTCAAAAAAAAAAAAAATGAAAATGTATGTCCATGCAAAAGGAAATGTTCATAACAACATGTTTATGATAGGCAAAACATGGAAACAACCCAAATGCCCATCAGCTAAAGAGTAGATAAAGGTGGAATATCCATACAGTGTCTAAAAAGGAATGAGGTACCTATACAGCGTACAAAACAGATGAACCTTGGAAGCATTATGCTAAGTGCAAGAAACTAATCACAACAGGCAACAAATTGTATAATTCTGTTTATACAAAATGTCCAGAATAGACATTTGTATAGAGATCCAAAGTAGTAGGTCACTGGTTGCCTAGATTTTAGGGCTGGGTGGGATGGAGTGACTGATAATGTGCGCTCTGTATGGGGCTTCTCTTTGGGGGTAATGGAAATGTTCTAAAATTAAGTTACTGTTACATAGTTGGACAACAATGAATACACTGAAGACTACTGACTAGTTTGCTTTGGGGTAATTCTATAGGGTGTGAATTACATCTCAGTAAAACCACTCATGAAAGAAGAACGCAGCTTGGCTTGCCAAGATGCTCTGCTTGTGATCAAACACGTGGAATTTTCTATTCTTCCCATGAAAATGTACGCATTTGGGGATGATGGTGTCAATGGGGAAAATCAGTGAACACTGAAGGTTGAGGCATTCAAGCCTGAAAGGTTAAGGGCCTATGAATCTGCATTCATAGGAAGGATATTCTACATGACAAGAATGGTATGAGCCCAGCTCTAGAGGTGAAAAAACATGATTGGAAAACATCAACCAACAATTTTTTCAATGTTGTGTGAATTAAAGAAGACACATTGCATGTTTAAACCATACTTGCAAATGCTCACATATATAAATAGCTTTCAGATAATTTCTTATTGGTGATCAGAGGAAAAGCTATAAAAAACAGAAGTCTACTTTGTAAGAAATGTTGTTAGGTGACCTTTGTTCTTTCAAGCAAAGTGTATCAATAATGGATTCCATCAAGAAATTAAAAATGATCCTGGAGTTGCTAGTGATTTTTTTTTTAGAACACTAACTATGAAAAGTAATTTAATCCTCATGTATCCACTTTAGGTAGTTGTCTGATCAAAGACAAAATGTCTCCCTGTCGGGTTGGGTGACTGATTTGGCAGTCACAAGGAAGTCAAGCTCAGACTGATGGTGGCCTGTGGTGTTTCTTATAGCAGATATTTGCCTTCTTAGGAAAGAACCTTCCCATGGCGCTGGCTGGAGTGATGGCTGTCTTGAAATATTCAGTGAAGAAGACTGAACCCAAGCCTAGGGCAAACCAGAAATCCTTTCGTAGAAAGAGATATTAAATGACTTCATGAATTCTCTCCTCTTAACAGACATGCCTCAGTAAGCTTAATATCCTGTATGCTTTCTACTGTATGAATGGTGCTCTACTCAGAAATTCTCTGATTGTCCATGTTGATCAGGTAAAGGCAGCAGTTCTGAGGTTCTCACTCAAGTGCCCCCTCTGTGTGTGGGACTGGACTACAGTTCATTATATGAAGATGAGTCGTGCCCTTGCAGAGCCTAAACCAAGAGAGAACACAGATGTGGCTCTTAGTGAAGAAGAAATCAGTAGGCGATGAAGAAATAATGAAGGGTGGTGAGCTTCCAACATGCAGTCCATGAGGCTGAACCAGGAGAGGGGTGTCGCAGTGGGTGAGGAGCAGTAACAGTCACCTCTCAGTCGGTTTCGGTGGGACAGGAGATTCTGGATGCTCTTACCAGCTAAGGGAGGAGGACTGTCAGCTGGTGTGGAGGCTGGCAGTGGGAGGGCATCCAGGAATATGTTGGATGCATGCAGGCTCTTCAGAAAGTTCATGGAAAATGTGTATTATACAAAACCTATGCATAGATTTCAAACATTTTTTTAGCACTCACAATAAGCGTATCTTCTAATACTACTTTTCCATGAACAATCTGAAGTAGCCTTGTGTATGGACACCTGTGTGTTGGTGTGTGTGTGGATGTATTGTTGGCAGGTGTGGATGTGGCTGTGCCGGCACATAGTGTTACAGTAATAAGTATCCATTTTTACTCCAGGTTCCAGTCCCCACAGAGATAAGAATTCAAAGGAAAGGAATAAAAATGTTAGCAGAGATCGCTGGTAGGTTCTTGTCTTCATGCAAGAAAGAATTCAGATACAAGACAGAGAACAGTAGCATGCAAGGTAGCAAGGTTTATGGGACAGGATCACTCAGACTGGGGAGAGCAAGGTTACATGGTTAAATGGAGAGAATACACCTGGCCGTCCAGGTGGGTGGCTCAGGAGAGGACTGAGAATGGAGTGCTCAGTCTGTATTCTGCCTGGGGCTTATAAGGGAAAGGGACCCAGTTCTTCCTGCCATTTCTCCTTCCCTTCCTCCTCCTTCTGGACAAAGGGTTTGCCAAGTGTGAATTAGGAACAATTCCTCCCAAGGTTTCACTGCTCAGTGCTGTCAGACTGGGGAGCCCACCTGGCAGGGCAGAGGAGCCTCCCCTAGGGTGCCTGCCTTGGGGGAAGGATGTCAAGGTCTTACTGCTCTGTTATCAGATCAGGCGACCCATTTGGTGCAAGCTTCCTGGGGAGCTTTCCTGGGGGGAAGGCTGAGACCCCCTGTATAGTTACCAGGGTCTGGGCAGGACTTTGAAGTGTGAAGTACTGGGTTGCTTCCAAGGTGAGCTTCTGCAGATGCTGTCTTATCCTCAGGCCCCTCATACACACAGGCTAATTTCTAGCTTCCTGCCTAACAAAAACAGTGCGTGTGAGAGCAGGATTTACCTAAAAGAGGGAGTGCACATTCACTGGTGATTGTGGGTCACCCTTCTCGCCCTTCTGTCCCCCTACCCCACCCCTCCGCCAATAGAGGAGGTCAATGAAGGACCCAGAAGCACGGTCCAGGAGCCAAGAGCAAAAATAAAGGATGTTTCTACATACATTGGTCTCTTTTATGAGGTAGTGAGTGATAACTGAACTAAAAATACAGACAGGGTGGAGTTTAGCATGCATGGGACTTTGCTCCTACTTCACATGGAGTTTAACTTCTGCTTGGCCATCATGGCTTCTCCCTCCTGCTCCTGGCTAAGGTGAGACACAGTTGCATCATGGGAAAGTGGGCATACTGGATTGAGAGGTAAGGGGGCAGAGTTACAATGCAATGCTGCGCAGAAGCCATGAGAACATAGTCTATCTGCGTTTATTCAAACCTAACACCCTGCCTACTTCCCCCATATCAATAGCAGCATGCCCCTGGAGCACAATGTCCTTTTATTGCTTACAGTGTCTAAAAGTCAGTACTTAGCTGCCACTCTGCTGTTGGTGAAACACTGACCAATATCACCACTGGCACCACTGATACTGACATCGGAATATGGGGTGCCATGTGATATCACTGTGTGCTTATTAATACTCAATATTAATAAGCCTCTGTGGGTTCTTGCCTAATATTCAGAGAATTCTTAATACTGGCATAAATGAATGAGGCAGCATGATAAGTTTTAAGCTTTTTATTCAGTGAGAGAAATGCATAGGAGAGTGAGGCCCTATCTAAAAGAGAGATAGGTCGGCGCCGTGGCTCACTTGGCTAATCCTCCACCTGCGGCGCCGGCACCCTGGGTTCTAGTCCTAGCCGGATTCTGTCCTGGTTGCTCCTCTTCCAGTCCAGCTCTCTGCTGTGGCCCGGGAGTGCAATGGAGGATGGCCCAAGTGCTTGGGCCCTGCACCTGCCTGGGAGACCAGGAGGAAGCACCTGGCTCCTGGCTTCAGATCAGCGCAGCGCGCCGGCCATGGCAGCCATTTGGGGAGTGAACCAACGGAAGGAAGACCTTTCTCTCTGTCTCTCTCTCTCTCTGTCTAACTCTGCCTGTCTAAATCAATAAGTCAATCAATAAA